CCCAGTTGTAGATGAACTTCAGAGCTTCCCTCTAACTTCTAGCTGCTGTAGGCTTTGCCTGGGGGCTTTCCCTAGATGCCAGGGAATTAACACGTCCAAGCAGCCCTCAACCAGAGACCAAGGGGAGATGTGGTTATAAAGAAATACATCACATCCCTCACCTCTTGGTGGGCTACCTCTGAATGTGTATTTCATACCATTGCTCAGAACTTTCCTGTGGAACTAAGCCCCAGTCACCCACAGCCGTGATCTGCTTGATAGCACGCCCTTTATTGGCTGCCTTCCCTGTCCCACTTTCCCTTTCCCTTCAGGTGTTTCCTGGGATCCTCTCCCAGATGAACTACTGCACTAGAATCCTGGTCTCAGGGTCTGCCTTGGGGAACCAAAACCAAGACCTTCACTCCAGCTTCTATAAGGAGATCAGATGGGTGGGGACAGAAGTGGAGGCAAGGACACAAGTTAGGGGTCAATTACATCAGTCCAGGTAAGAAAAGATGGTGGCCTGGACCAGGATGGTGGCAGCTGAGGCTTTCTGGGGTCTGGACTTTCCAGAACATGAAGGCTCTCCATAAGCAGAGGCTGCAGAATGACTTCTATGAGGGAAGCAACTCACTGAGCTCTCCACAGTTCACTCACCCAGACCAGCCAATCACACACGCTCCAAGAGGAAGCAGTGCGTGAGACAAGAAGCCCTCTTTAAAAAAAAACAGAAATGTACCCAGTCCCACAGAACTTCCTTCCCCACCTCTGGCCTCTGGGTAGAAGGCCCTCTTGGGTCCAGGAACAACACCCCTCGGGTTGGAATTGGCTTATAGCAGATGTGATGGTCACAGTTCCTCCAGAACATGGTTGGCTGTGCCACCTTCACTGTCCCCAAAGGAGAAGGACTTTGTGCCTCTCACCAGAGTGAATGCAACTCTGGCTGCAAATGGCCCCTGACATGAAGTTGAACAGAGCTCTTTGAGCCCCTCCCATCAACACACATACACACTCTCCCACCCGCTGCATCCAGCCGGGCAGAACCAGCTCCTCCCTGACACGGTCTTACTTTCCCCTGTGACGCAGCCCAGGGTGAGGTGGGAGGTACTCACTCACTATCAGTACTTTTTCATAGAGAAACCAGATTATTAATCAAGAACACCATCCTGGTCACAACGGCCTGCTGAAACTGGTCTTAGACTTATCATTCACTGGAAATAGCACATGCTATTGGCACCCGCTCCACTCATCTCCCCTTGGCACTCACTACTCCTGTCCATGCCCATGGCTTTCTACAAGTGCCTGAAGCCCTCTGCCTTTGCCCCTTTCTGGCTGCAGGAGCACACGTGGCTGGCCAGCACATGGGTTACGCTAGAAGTGCCAGGAAGTCAGCGCCGTTGGGAGCAGCCTCAACCACTGATGGGCGAATAGCCCAGCTTCTTTGGCCCTTGGGTGGGATGACTTAAGGCATGTTCTACATACTTCTCTAGCAGTCTCAGGGGGACTGAGCCCCAGTTGCCCACAGCAGTGTCTGGACACCATATGGAGAATATGTGGGTTGATGTGAACGGTCTGCATGTATGTAGCTATAGCACCTGTGGGCGTCTAAGGTTCATGCGTAAGTGTACAATGTGTATGTGACTGATTTGACTATCGTCCCATAAATATTTGCTCCTCTTCCCTGCCACTCTAGGCAGAGTGTATTTCCCTTCCCTAACACCGGGCTTGGCCATTGACTTACTTTGGCCAATGGAATATTAGCAGAAGTGTCATCGGCAGAGGCTTTACATGTGCTTCTGCAGTTTGGTTGAGCCCTTGGGCTTCTTCTACTCCCCATGAGAAGAGTCTGCCCCGAGTAGTGCTGCCTCTTCAGCCTGGGCTCAGAATAAGAAATGATGAGCAGGCCTGAACCCACAGCCTGGAGCCAGCCTCAACTGAGCCCAG